GCTTCTCGTTCTCCGAGTTCACTCCGGTGGATCTGGCGGCGGCGGTCCACCAGGTAACGCAGGCGACGAGCCTTTTCTGCGCGCGCTTAGGCGCGGCTCTGCGCGCGACGTTGGGTTCTGCTTACGTCATGGAGTCGGGGCGCGACAGCGGCTCCGCGCGAGTGGCCTGCGAGCGCGACGGGAAACACCTGCTGACGTCACTCGTGACCGGGGCGCTGTTCCTGGATTTCGAGAACGAGAGCTTCACGCGGGGCGGGCCGAGCTGCTTCCCTGACAGTGAGGAACGGCGGGCGGTTCTGGAACTAGAGAAGCGGCAGATCCGGGCCGGGGACATTGACGTCAGGGGCGAGACGCTAACCCCTTTCACCGAGTACTGCTGGGCGCGGCTGGAGCGTTTCGCGGAGGCGCTCGGCGCGCAGTTGCAGATGCCCCCCGAGAAAGTGCGCGAGAACATCACGCAGTCGGAGGCCCTTTCGCAGCCGTGGGTGGAGGCCGTCACGCGCGCGTGGCTGCTGCAGCGGCTCGCGCGCACTTTCTCGCCGCCCGCAGAGATCGTACGGCGCGCGCCCGGGATGCCGATCGACGCGCAGTGCGAGCGTGTGACGGAGCCCGACGCCCCGGGGTTTGGCAACCGGGTTTACCTCGTAACCATGCCCGGGTTTAAGGTGGGCGGGGTGGCCGTCTCCAAGTGCCTGGTCTACCCCGACTTCCGCCCGGTAGAAGACGCACAGATCTCCCGAGCGGTAGAAGATGCCCCGAGCCCACAGAAAAGGGCTGCGCAGGCGTTTGACGAGACGACCGAAACAACGGCGGTAAAGACTCCGGGTGACCAAAGAGACTCTCTCGGGTTGCCGCCTACCGAGAATGCACAATGGTTGAGGAACGGTTCGAACCGGGACGTTTCGGCTGGTTCCCCGAGGCAGGGCGCTTCCCCGGGTGACGTCACCGGAATGGCGCTCGATGGACCGGACTTGGAGGGGGCTGCAGACGAGTCAACCGGGCACGGGAAGGCGGAACCGGTCAACGTATCGCCTCACATGATTCCGGATGACTTCGGCAAAGAGACTTCGGCATATCACTAGATGAGGAGCTGACAAACTGAGGTCTTCGAGACAGCTTTGGAGGTGCAAAAGTCGTTCTTAATAGTGCTTGGTAATTTTAAGTCAATCTAATAACCCAGTGCTCGAACGAGGTTCGAGACGTCTAAGGAGGAACGCGCTTGCAATCAGAGTCAAATCACGAGTCTCACGTGAATCGGCAAAACCGTAAAAGTCTGGCAACGGTGACAGAAAGCTGTTGGGAGACTTTGACAATCCCGTCTCTTCGACGGACGCGATTGGCTCCGACTTTTTGAAGCACTTCTGGTGCCTCATAGAATGAAGCGTCCAACCATTGACACTGCGCCAACAGCCGTCGTGTGCAAGATTTCCCAACGCTTTGCCGTTCGATCCCCCCGTTCAAATATTCGATCCTCCTAACTAGGTCTGTGTCTATAAACACCGTCTTGTCTGAACGAAGCGTGCGAACTCTGCCGTCGTCCCCTGCAATACCGCGTCTCTGCCTTTCATTTCCATAAAGCAAGTCTTTTGTAACTGGAACCGAACGGTAAACGCTCGAATAGCCCGACGATCGTTCTCGTGATGAAGTGCAACCAGCTTGTGAGGATTTTGTCACAAGATGAGGCCTAGTGTCAGCTCTTAGATTCATCCGTGGCTGCTTCAACACAACGATTGAGACGTATTATGTAGACTAGCAGCTTCGTTCAATCTCATGCCGGTGCTCTTCTGCACTCATGTAAGAGCATCAATGACGACTGTTCCTTGTGACATGCAGGCTTTGAACCGCCTCGTGCAGCACTCAGCCGGCGGGAAATCCCGTGAGACAGGCGTACTAACGCTCAGAGTTTCAGGCTTTCAGTTATTAGAGTCTCAGGGTGTTTGAAGTGTGGACTGCTGCGGCGATTGGTCAGGCCCGGCAGGCTGGGGTGCAGGACAGATATCACAAGATGGAGCCGATTGTGCAAAAGTAGAATGTACTGTGCCATTGGATGTCTGCTTAAAGCTTCAGTGGTCTTGAAATTTGAGAATTGGTAGGAGTTGGCAACTTGATAGAGAAGTGACAGTTTTCAAACACCGGCGTAACTCATGAGTCTGTGTGAGGCAGCCGAACGTGCTAGAAGGCCGCCGCATAACGGCTACTCTATAGTCTTTCGTAGTGGGTCCGAAGTATGTCAAATTTCGCATTCGTAATTTCTGACGTAGAATGAGGACTTAAGCGAAATTTCGACTTGACTTCGTGTTACTTTTATAGATTGAAGCCGGCTCCAATGTCTGAGTGTCTCGAACATCACATCTGGTGCATTGATATCAGAGAGCCGCAGTCGATCATTAGCAATACATCGGCAGTGCTCCTCCTCATGAGCGTCCCTTAACCTGTCACTGAAAGGCGTTTACAAAAGTGGATCCAATGCGTGCCAGCAAGAACAGATTGCTTATCCGTGGTTCTTTATATTACAAGTGGGCAAGGCCAGAGCATGATTAATTCCATTGGTTCTGATTTGGAAAATCAAGGGAGACTGTATTTTCGAGTCATCTCGCTCTAGAATACGCGGCTGTCACGTAGTCGAAGCACTCCGGAAACTCGATCTCATCTTGCACGTCATCTTGAACTTTGATGCGACTATCACCAGAACTTCCAGCTTGAAGGGGGCCCGTAAGTGCTATGTTAGAAG